AGCAGCATAGTTTATTAAGCCAATAAAATCTTAAGTGCATGAGCTCTGGAGACCCCTGAGGTCTTTTTATATGCATGAAGGAGCTGGAGGGTTTCCTGGGCCTGAGTCTTTCTTGCTGCTTCGAACAGGTGGGTGTACAGCAGTCTGCCTTCTCCCCTGTGTCCCCATCCCAGGAAGGTACCTGTCACCTGACAGCCAGCCCCACCACCTGCCCCCACTTTGGGGACCCTGGTCTGGTCTGGCCTAGTATCCTCACTCAGACATTCTAAGAGCACAGGACAGAGCCCAGCAGACTCATGCTCCTGCCCTCGCAATGCATCTGGTGGCTGCCTCCTGCCTACCACATCTCATCCCATCAAAAGGGCTCAGGCCACAGCCCCTTCCTCATCTCTGCTGCACCCTAGAAAGGCGGGTCAGGCTGTGGCTTGCTGCTGCCGGCTGTGTCTCATTGAGAATCTCCCCTCGCCCTCTTTTTAAAAAAATCTGCTGTTTTCCTTGTCTCTCCCCCTGCCTGCTCCCCTTTTCTTCCCAGCCCTCTTCTTTGTCTCCTGAAACTTCTCCTGGTGTGCCTAATTCCCGGAGGCTGCAGCGGCTTTGGAGAGGCAGCCCCACCTCGCTGTGCACACACAACCCTGAGAATCGATTCAGAAAACGATTAGTTACAGTACAGTAGCGCTGCTAACTGTGGCATTTTGCTTTGCAGTTATTGATACATCATCAGAATTGGGAAGCGATAGTCAGGAAGGAGGAGGAGAAGGGAGAGGGGAGACACCTGTCCTGAAATGTCAGCTCTGACGGGGAGGGATTTTCAGGTCCGAGTGAAGCTGGCACCTGGGTTGTCCTCATCACAGCTGTGCCTGACTTTACCTAGGTTCAGGAGGGACAGTTTGTTCCAGGTTCGTGAAAGTGCAGTCCTTGCCCCCAAGTAGACAGGAGGCCTCGGGCTGCCTCCTTCCCCTTCCCTGTTTCTGCCATCATGGGGCACAACTTCATATTCCACCAGCCAAGACTGCATGCTGGGCAGAACATGGGGAGGTGGGATGTCTGGTTCTGTTGATGGACAGGGTCAGCTCCAGGAACCCAATCTGGGAGAGATCCCAGAGGCCCTAGATAGGTAGGTAGGTAAGTAGGTAGGTAGATAGATTAGATAGATCAGATAGATAGATAGATAGATAGATAGATAGATAGATAGATAGATAGATAGATAGATAGATAGATAGATAGGACAGACAGATTTTCAGGAATTAGGTCATGTAGTTGTGAAGGCTGCCGAATCTGAACTCTGTAGGATAGGTGGACAGGCTGGAACCTCAGGCAGGAATTGGTGCTTCAGTCTTTTTTTTTTTTTTTTTTCTTTTGAGATGGCATCTTGCTCTTCTTACCCAGGCTGGAGTGCAGTGGTGCGATCTCGGCTCACTGCAACCTCTGCCTCCTTGGTTCAAGTGAGTCTCCTGCCTCAGCCTCCTGAGTAGCTGGGACTACAGGTGCCCACCACCATGCCTGGCTAATTTTGGTATTTTTAGTACAGACGGGGTTTCACCATATTGGTCAGGCTGGTCTCAAACTCCTGACTTCAGGTGATCCACCTGCCTCAACCTCCCAAAGTGCTGGGATTACAGGCATGACCCACCGTGCCCGGCTGGTGTCGCAGTCTTGAGGCAGCATGTTTTTCCCCAGATAACCTTAGTTTTTGCTGTTAAGGCCTTTCGACTGACTGGATGAAGCTGCCCACATTAAGAAAGGCCATATCCTGTGCTGAAATCAACTGACTTTAGGCATTAGCCACAGTTACCAAGTACCACCCCAGCAACACCTAGGTTTGTGCTGGACTGAATCCCAGGGGACGAGAGCCTGGCCAAGTGGATGCATAACACTGACCATCAAATGCCCCAAGACCCCAAGAGCTGATGACCAGGGTTCAATGGATGGGCCTAGAGGGCAGTAAACTCCTGGAAACAGCAATGTTTCTGTGTGTTATGGAAAATGGGCTCCTGACTTGCATTAGATGTTTAATGCTGAGGCAGCGCTGAGGGGTGACTTGTCTGCTACCGGTGAGAAATGGAGCCGTGCTCCCTCCACAGAAAGGCCCGGACAGAGGCTGGGGAATGCAGGAGGAGGGCGGAGGTCCTTCTCCTCTGTAAGCCTGCAGGAGCTCCACCTCCCTGACAGGACAGGGCCCTTGGCAGTGGGGAAATGGACAGCCGCTGCTGACTGTCCTGGAAGCAGGACAGAGCTAGGGGGTGGGTAGGAGAGAAAAGAGAGACAGGAGTGGGAGGGGCCCATGGGAGCCTGTGCTCGGAGGAGTGCAGAAAAAACTCTACACGAGCCTTGAGCTTGGTGACAGATTGCTCTAGGGACACAGAGGAGGTCTCGCCCTGGCCTGGGCGGGCTGGCAGGGCTGAAGTGTGCACAGGTCATGGGGAGAGGACCCTGGGAAGGAGCTAAAACTGACTGTGAAGGGCCTGGACCCCCAGGCTCAGGAATCTGGACTTAACCCCCAGGCCTTGAAGGGAGCTTCAAGGGATTTTAAACAACTTTGTGCTTTAAAAATCTACTCTAGGGACAGGGTGGGGAATGTATGATAAGGAGGCCATGCTACTGGTAGGGAGTGCGAATAGGAGTTGGAATACCGTGTCCGGGGTAGCCGTGCATTCACACGTTTATCCCTCGTTCCTCATTCCCTGAGCATCTGCGGCTTGCCAGGCCCTACTCCGGTACAGAGACCGCGCGGCAGCTCCACGTGTCCTTGGGAAACTTCCATTTTAGGGCCTTGTGCACAAATGAAGACAATGACAACACTACTTTATGACTGTGGGGTATGAAGAATTACCTGAGACTGGGTAATTTATAAAGCAAAGAGCTTTCATTAACTCACCGTTCCTCATGTCTGGGGAGGCCTCAGGAAACGTACAATCACGGCTGAAAGTGAAGGAGAAGCGAGGTGCGTCTTACATGGTGGCAGGAGATGAGTGCGAGGGGGGAACTGCCAACTACTTTTAAACCATCAGATCTCACGAGAACTCACCATCACAAGAACAGCATGGGGGAAACCATCCCCATAATCCAGTCACCTCCCACCAGGTCCCTCCCTCAACACGTGGGGATCACAATTCCAGATGAGATTTGGGTGGGAACACAGAGCCAAACCATATTATGGTGCGACAGGTCCTGAGCAGAAGCGGCAGGGATGGGGCGGGGGCTTCCGATACAACGGCTGGGGGCTTCTCCGAGGGGAGGCCTGGACAAGCAGGTGTCATGCAACACCTGGAGGAGGGGACAACATGTGCAAGGACCCTGAGGTCAAATCCAACCAGAAGGCCCCCATGGGTGGGGCAGAGGGAGCAAGGAGCAGGTGTGAGAAGCAGCGTTGGGAGTGGGAGGGTGGGGCGTATGCAGGGGATGGGGCGGTGCCCACAGGGCCAGAGCCACGGTGTGGGAGAGGAAGTCTCAGGAGAGGTGGAGGGAGGAAGAGTCCAAAGTTTCAGTGGAGACCCCGATCATGTGACACCCCCTTCCTGCCCTGTCTTCCTTCCTCCTTCCTGTGCAAAATCCACTCTCAGGTGCTTTGAGGAACACAAGCCACGTGAGGCTCTGTTTTAGCGGGCTGGGGTTGCTCTAACAAGATGTCATAGACTGGGTGGCTTAAACAATAAACTTTTATTTTATTTTATTTTATTTTATTTTATTTTATTTTATTTTATTTTTTGAGACAGAGTCTTGCTCTGTTGTCCAGACTGGAGTGCAGTGGTGTGATCTCAGCTCACTGCAATCTCTGCCTCCCAGGTTTAAGCGATTCTCTTATCTCAGCCTCCCTAGTAAGTAGCTGGGACTCACCACACTCGGCTAACTTTTGTATTTTTAGTAAAGATGGGGTTTCACCGTGTTGGCCAGACTGGTCTCAAACTCCTGGCCTTAAGTGATCCCCCCGCCTCGGCTACCCAAAGTGCTGGGATTCCAGGCATGAGCCACCGCGTCTGGTCCAACAAACATTTACTTCTTACGGTTGTGGAGACTGGGAAATCCGAGATCCAGGTGCCAGCAGATCTGGTGTATTGTCACCGGGGGATTGGGGGGGTAGGTGGAGAAAGAGGAGAGAGAGGGAGACAGACACTCTTATGAGGGCGCTCATCCCATTCAGAGAGCCCCACCCTCATGACTTTATGACCTCCCAAAGGCCGCACCTTCAAATACCATCACATGCGGCCTTTGAGGGAACAGAAACACTCGGACAATGGCTGACTCAGTCCCTGCTCACAGCCAACACAGATCAGCAGGGTGAGCCGCTAACAGGCAGAAGCCAGGTGCCCTGTTGACATTGCCCCCACCCAGTGTCTAGCAGGGAGGCCTGGTGGCCAGAGGCCTTCACACTGTCAACCCCGGAAAAGCCTAAGACCAAGAAGGAGAATTCACGGCTGCTCGTGACCCTGATGGGATCTGATGAGAAAACAGCCTTGCTTCCCATTGAGGACCTAGCTAGGCCACAAGTGCAAACCACGGGGGCTGCTCAACCCACGCCGGCTGTTACAATTTCCTCTAGGATGCAGCCCAGCACTCGGGAGCTGGGCCTGGTAATGGGGCTGGTGCTGAGGATTCATCCCCAAGGAGGCTCTGCCGGTGTGAGAGAGACCGGGGACCCACCTTGGGGACAGGCGATTGGGCCATTCCCCCATCAGTCCAACCTCCAGCCTGACCCCGTGACCTGCTGGCACTCTCCCCTCTGGCCCCAGCTTCGGTTTTGATACCGTGAGTCTCACCTGCGATATCCGGGGCTGCAGAGCTGGAAGCATCTTCTACCCGTGAGGAGGTAGACAAGGACACCTTCTTGCAGCTTCTCCCAGCCTAACGCACTCCTGTTTGTATCGTTCAAAAGACATAGTTCCCGTGACACTCTGTCCTGTAATATTTTCAATCAAGAGTGCGGGAGAGCGTGCGTCTGATGCACTCCAGATATTCAGAGATTGAAAATCGTTTTGTTCTCTTGTTTTCTTTTTAAAATGCAGCGTGAAGTCAGAACAGCCAGAGGAAATTCTGCCACCATTTTCCCAGAGCTGGTCTGCAGCCCCTCCGTCTGGGAACCTGCTCCTGGAGTCAGCCCTCTGCAAACAGGTATGAACCTCTCTACGCAGTGCTGTCTGCTCCCCCCGAGCTGGTTCTCAGATGGGGGCTTCTCCCAGGCCTCGGGGCGGCCCACCGCCGTGAGGGGCGATGAGTGAGGGTGTCTGCAGGGGGAGCTTTGGTCTGCAGAGAAGAGGGTCCCCACCATGGGGTTCCCCAACTCCTCTGTGCTTTTCACCTGCCCTTCTCTAGTCCCCTCACTAAAATGCAAATCAGTGAGTGTATAATAGATAATTAATAGACTGATCAGCCAGCAAGGGAGGTAAGTAGATAAATAATTTTAATTATCCTTGGGTTGCCCATAAATTCCCTCACTGCCTTTTTATTAAACTCTCTGTTTACAGGAGTCATTTATATTGCATGTCATTTCGCCTCCCCCGCCTCCTGGGTGGCTCCCACTGGGGCTGACCTAGGATAGAACAGGACTGCGTGACCGCAAGATCTTCTCCTGGTAGAGCTTGTCCTGGGCACAGGTGTCAAAAAGCTTTGCCCAAGTGGCCAGCTGGATGGCAACAGGGCGGACACGCACAGCTCACGCGAGGCCCTCCTTCTGCGCCCTGAGGTGGCCGCAGCCTATATTTAGGCCTGAGTCGGAAACCTTTATTATACTTGGCACCTGTGCTGTAGGTATGAGCTCATTCTTCTCCCCAGGGATGGCCTTAGCCTATTAATAGCCTTGGCTGAGGTTCTCTCCTTGCTCCGAGTGCCAGGAGAGAAAGTGGGTTAATAAATATCAAAGAAAACTCCCTCAGAGAGCCTGGGGCCAGACTCTCCCAGACTCTCCAAGAGTCGTGGATGTCGGGCCCCAGACCAGGAGAGGGGTTCCCTTTTCCCCCAGCCTCTCATCTTCCCCCTGACAGAGGCCCAACGCCCAGGCTGGCAGGTCTGAGCACCGGGCATGGCAAAGCTCTCCTAGGTGCTGTCAAACTGGGGGTAGAGGAGGGCACCCGGCACGGGAGGCCGAGGAGGTTGGCTCAGGTGGGGCTGTTGGCATCTGGGCAGCAGAGAGAGGGAGGCAGGGAGGGCACCCTGGACCTTCTGGCACCTTCCTTCTTGCCTGCACCCTCTCACGTCCTTCTGCCGACTCAGCAGCGTGGAAGGGAAAGGGAGGAAGTGACCTTGGGATGGCCCCCGAGGAAGACCCCACCCTCATCCTCTCCCAGGCCTGGAGGCTGCGGCAGGAATTGTTAACCTGAGTTGGAAACAGTAAGGCAAGGGAGCCCCAGGAACAAAGCAGGGAGGGGAGGGGCGCTTCCAAGGGCAGGTGTGCCAGGCTGGGCTGGCAGCAGGCTCCATTGCACCTGATTAGCTGAATTCCAAGAGAGTCACACGCGTGCGGGCCGTGGCTGGCGTTCTGCATGGATGTGTGAGGCGCCCTGGCCTGGCGCATTGTCAGCTAACATTGTTGAGTGGCTTGGGTTGGGGAAATGTCTCACAGCCCCGTCTCATTTACTCTCCGCCGTTGCCGTGCGTGGGTGCTCTTAGCAGGACTCAGGGAGGTCACGGCCACCCAGCTGGGAACTGGCCGAGCTGAGGCTCAGGCTGGGGTTATCTGGCCGCAGCAGCCGCTGCCTGTAGGCCTCAGGTCAGGATGTTTTCTGCGGAGCATGGGGCCCTGTTGGCTAGATTTCGTCTATGTTTTCTGGCTTTCACCCGCTGGACATGAAGTCAGACTGTGGATGCTGCGGCTTTTATGAAACTCGACCCTAGCTGAGCTCTAGCACAGCGGCCAGTGATGGCAGAGTTTGGGCAGCCTCCAGTCACTGGCTCGCACAACCGCTGCCCAGGGCTGGACGCTAGAGGCTACGGTAGGTCAGCCCTGGATGGTTAGCCAGGTTGTGCACTCTCAGCTGGTTGTTCTGCTTTCCTTGGAGGGAGGCTGGCTGCCCACGGCAGAGAGGGAATTCAGGCTGAGCAAACGAAAAGGCCTTTTTAAGTTTCATTCAATGGAATTAAAATCTGAAAAATGGCCCAGTGGAGGCTCCCTGCCCTTTCAGGAGTTTGTTCAGCTCAGAGCTGTGCAGCTGGTCCAGCCCCCGCCCCAGCCCACACAGGCTGTATGGGAGGAAGACAAAGGGCCAAGGGAGAGGCAGAAAGATGTGACCATGACTTCCCCAAAGTCTTTCTCCCCTGTTCGGGGGCTCGCTGGAGGGGGCAGCCGAGCGCATTTCACGTCTGTCTGTCCAGAGGAGGCGGACAAGGGGGGCGGGGCTCTGCCCTGTCTTGGGAAATGTAGGTGGAAACACGGGGCTCTGAAACCAAACAGCAAGCCCCGTTGGGATGGCTGTGCGTCGTCTCGATTTTTCTGATTATTTTTAGGGTTTTTTATTTTCTGATTATTTTTAGGGTGGACCCTTTTAGGGTTTCTCATCTGATTCTGTTTTGGGAAGTTGGGTGGGTAGAAAAGAAAAACATAATGATTGAAAGGCAGGACGAAACTGATCCCTTCATCCCAGTAATAGCTACGATGGCAGGGCTTGGCTGGTCGCAGGGTTCCAAGCCCTCTGCCCCCACCTCTCCCTTTCCCCACCACACAGGCAAGAACCCTTTACTGGCTCTGCTTCATCTGCCTGATCTTCAGGAACTGAGCCACTGGGGGCCACCATCGTAGGGGTTGATGATTGATTAAAAATAGCCAGAGCTGTGCTTCCTGCCCTGGCCAGGCGGCGGCCCCCCCACCCCTGCTGAAACAGCATCCTCTGAGAGCAGGGCCACAGCGGAGTCCACCCAGCCCTCTAAGCACGGGGCTCAGGATGGCGTCCGTGGAAAATGATGGAGTGCTCCAGTGTGAGACACGGTGGAGGGAGGAGGCAAGTGAAGGAGGTGAGGGATTTGGTTCTCCCGCAGACACAAGCAGGGGTCAGCAAGACTCTGCCTCGAGAACACGGTGCCCGTTTCACGGCCAGCTCTCCCTCTTGTAACCCAACAGCCACCAGCACCTTCCGAGAATCTTAGAGTTGGAACCAAGAACAGGGACCCCGGGTTTGACTTCCATCCTCTTATTCTAATCCCATCATCTTCCCTCCCCTGGGGTTAGGAGGGTCTGGGGACCTTCAGCAAGATCAATAATTTTCTTTTTCAATTAAAGTCAGGTCAGTATATCTTTATTATTACACAAGAAATAGATGTTTTTCTGGAAAATACAGACAAGAAAAACAAAGAAGCAACAATCTGTCAGAAATAACCATAGCTCACACCTCGGTGCATGTGTGATGTGTGTGTGATCTTCTAGCAATAATTTTTAACCCAAAAGAGTAGGAAAATCCTTCTGTAAAAACAGGATCATGCTATATATATTTATATATATACATATATATATCAAAATATATAGGTACCTATGTATATATATTTATATTATATACAAATATATGTACATATATACATATATTTACGTGTATATGTATATACATATATATTTTGTTTTGTAACCTGTTGTTGCTAGACAGTATTCTCAGGAACATATTTCTAGGTTGCTATTAACCTCATTCTTCATGATTGAATATCATTCCATTGCATAGAAAAACCATAACCAGTCCCTCAAGCCTGTTTGCAAATACTGAGACAGGCATTAGCCACCAACCCTATTTCCAAAACGCTATGCTACACTCTAAGAAACGAGAAGATTAATTTTCCAAACAGGTATTAGAAAATGATTATTCACATTATAAAGGAGTCTGCAAACATACACTCCAAAGAGCTTCTTTGAGAAATGGGCTCCCTGGGGCGTTAAAACTTCGTATAATGGATAAAACCCCAAGTCGCAGGCAGCTGTGTAGTGGGTGGTGCATCTGACTTCACGTTCCTTCCCTCGTGGAGATCCTTCCCAGGTCCTCCAGATGCATGTGTGGCCAAGTACACACACACACACACACACACACACACACACACAGGCCGACATGCACACATGCATACAAACACGTGCACGCTGTGTGCCGCACACGCAGGTGCATACACACACATACGTGCACCTAGTGTGTGGAAGCTTCTCTTCATTGTCAGCTGAAAGGTGATGTTAATTAATTCATTATTAATCATATCTATTTATCAGATGGTCTGCCCCTAGCCACTATTCTTGGGGAAGAAACTATCATTTCTCTTTAAAAGATAAAGGGAAATAGATGTTGATGAGTCTGGGCAGGTCAGTGCCTCCAGCCCATGTGACTCATTATTTCAGGAGGCAGACAAACCTCAGAAGAGAAAATGCTCAGGGGACTTTTAATAAAATCAGGTTGAAAAGAAACCCAGATCCCTGGCCTGCAGGTTAGAGTCTCCGGGCTCAGCACCTGAGGGGGCACAAGGTGGTGAGCATCTTTGCCCTAACAAGTCCAGCTGAAGACCCCTGAGACCCCCACTTCCCCAAGACCACTCAGAGGATGCTGCCCACAGGCGAAGCGTTTGTGTGTATATTTATGCAACCATATACCACATAAGCAGTAAACATATTTCTGGTATATTTCTATTCAATTTCAGGTATATATATTTCTAAAATAATGTGGTGAATTAAAAAGAGTAGCATAAATGGACTATTATATTTGAGACAAGGTCTCATTCTGTCACACAGGCTGGAGTACAGTAGTGTGATTACAGCTTACTATAGCCTCTAGCCCCAGGTCCAAGCGATCCTCCTACCTCAGCCTCCCAAGTAGCTGGGGCCACAGATGCACACCATCAAAACCAGCTCATTTTTAAATATCTTTTTTTGTAGAGATGGGGGTCTCACTATGTTGCCCAAGCTGGCCTCAAACTCCTGGGCTCAAGAAATCCTCCGGCCTTAGCTACCCAAAGTGTTGGGATTACAGGCGTAAGCCTCCGTGCCCAGTCAAAATGGACCTGTTAAAGTGAACAACTCAGGGGTATTGAGTACATTCACCACCTCTGTCTCTTTCCAAAACATTTCCATCACTCCAAAGTCAAGCCCCTTACTTGGGACTATTTTAAATATTGTTTTGTTTTAAAAGGCATCCCAACTACCACCAGTCAAAACCTTTGCA